CTTCGCTTGAAGAACTAGATGCACTAGAAGATTCACCTGGAGGCACTGGAAATTCTAAACATGCCATGCAAGCAGATGCACTTGTGGAACCAGCTGGGACCGGACCGTCGTAATAGATGGCGTTACCTGAGTATGCTAACAGAGGAATACCGAACAAAAATGTGTCCACTACAAAAAGATCCTCATCATAACCTGTACCGATAACAAATTCAACATTTTCTGCGGCAAGGAAGGAACCTCCATTCAATGTCAATACACCATCGGCATAAGAGTAACGGTAGATAGCAGTGGTAAGACCAAGGTAATTTCCACCACCAAATCCGGCAACCTTATAAGTTTGAGTAAGCAATTCTGCAGTGGCTCGAAGAGATGAATCTGAGGCACTCAAGTAAAATGTTTGATCTTCGTCAACGGCATACGTAAGTGAGGTAGATGGATATAAGAACACAGTAGAGTCTTCACCAATATCAATACAACCAGAACCTTCGATCTTTGTACTTTGTTCGTAGACTTGGTTAATCAAACAGATGGTACCCTCATTAGTGATAGTTTGAGTCCCAACACCTAGAGCCGCACCCAAAAGGACTTCACCTGTAGACCGAGTGGTCAACGAGAAAACCATTAAACCGTCATTCTCCCACGAAAGACCCAACACACTCATAATTGGAACACCAAGTCCATCACCCCCAAACCACATGGTACCTGTATTGCTGAACGATATTGTTGCAGTCAAATAAAAGTCCGGAGTGGTGAGAGACTGGATGGAATTGAAAGCCCAATCCCCACTGTTCGTAATACTGGTACCTACAATGCTGGCAGTCAAGGCAATCAAAGAACTATCTGAAGTGAGGTAAAATCCACCTTCATTATTGAAACTACCTGTAAATGAGGCTACTGCAACATCAATGATGGAATAGTAAACATCTGGGTAGATATGAGTGTTTCCAAGGGATATTGAAATTGTTCCCCTATCAATTGTATTGGAAGTGATATCCTGAGCATTAGCTAGCAAAGCCAGGAAGGCGGTGACTAGCAATCCCTTCAAAGATTTAGAAAACATATTCAACCTCTGCCTCAAATCCGCTGGAAATTACCAAAAATTTAAGGCTACGACAGCCATTTATACGACTACAGAAAATGGTTGCAAACGAAAAAAAACAACCATATCCTCCGCACATGAAGATGGATTTCACAACAAAAACTAGGGTGCAGTTTTTAAGTGTAAAAACTACATTATTTTAGTGCTGGATGTGAATTTTTTAGTCAGAGTTGGCTCATAGCTCCTGCATTGGGGCCGTATTGGTTGTAAACGGTGTGTGAAGGAGAAAAATATTAGGACTCGCAGAATTTTTTAAACAAACTTCTTAATATCCGCTGCATGCATAAAAATAAAAAAACCCTTTGTTCTGACGCCTTCGTTCTGCACGTACGAAGGCGTCTGGCTTACTCTCAATTATACTAAGCGATACAGTCGCTCTTCATTATTAGCTGTTAGCCGTTCTTATCGACTACTCAACTGCTACTTAGATTGTAGTTCTAAAGCTTCTTTCAACATCATCAGTTTCGGTTGAAATATCTTTAAAGTTATTTCGAAAAAAATAAGGTTTGTTCAAAGTTCCTTTTTTTGTTACCTAACCTGAACTTTGTGGGCGAGATTCAAATTGCCTTAACAAGATAATAGCACTGGCCTAGGAACCCACTATTTACGGCTATTGTTGTAGACCTTATTGATTGTTACGAATACCTTGTTCCGTAAAACTAGTCTCCAATGACCTACAATTTACTTGTTTTTGTACTCTCTCACTCTCTTACCATCCATTGATATATAGTACGACAATTACACTAAAAGGTTTAAAAAGGGACCCTCTTGTATAAAAACAAGAATAACTAGATTGACATCAAATTTCATCCAAAAATTCAAAAGATAGCTTTGCAGAAAAAATTGCCTGACTAGATTTCTGTGCTTTTTACGAACCCAGAGGGCTACTGTGCCAGCTTTCTGGTGTATTGTTTGGAAATTACGACTCCGAACAATCCTGTATTAGTTACGAGAATTCTCCACTGATGAATAAGCTCGAAAAAAATAATCACCCAGTTTTGACTCTTGGTAACCCGATTGAAAGGATTCTCGGTACGACGAAGGAATAATAAATCTTTGCAGGGCTTCATTTAGTGGACAAAGTTCATCACAAACAAACCTTTTACCTTTTCCTGAGATACATTCCTAGCTTCAATCACTCTTTCATCTTGTGCCAAGTTTAAGCGCTTCTCCAGCTGCTGGAGTTTACCACTTTCTGCTTGTAGTCAAAAATAAAGGTGACGATAGGAAAATTAATTTTTTAGGGTCCTTTTAGTTGCTAGTATTGCGCGCATGGGAAGGCTTAGTGTCCACCGAGGCTACTGTCATGGGTGTGCTGGGTATGCTGGGCGTGCTGGGCAAGTATTACCATGATGCACCCCATGTTAAATTAAGAGGAAAGATCTCCAAGCTAATTTCTTGGTCAAGGCGGACTAGACAGTTGCAGGCGGAGCTTATGAAGGCTAACAGTGACACATTCTTCGGACATTGTTGATCCGGACTACACTTCTGACCTACACACTCGTTGAAAGCAAGCTGTGTACATCAACTTAGAGCATTTGGGTGATACACCTCTTCCAGTGTTTAACCGATACCATTTAATTATAATGTGAAGCTCGCTACTGTCAGCGCACGCTGTTGATGGTGGCTTTGACATGAACAGCTACCGAGATTTCAGCAGAGGCGAGGAAAGAGGACAGGGCAACCAAATCACCGTATGAAACGAGGAGTGCACATTAGGGCTCGTGCTGTTTTGGGTACTAAAAAGCGTGCATCGGAACTTTAAATTCATATACGGCGCTGTGAGGATCTTTAATCTCGAAAATTTAGAGGCCTGACTTAATTCATAGCAACCTCTTTTTTGTCTTGGCCAGAGATCCTGGTATTAATTCGTCCTAAAATATTCGGGGTATTATCTGTGTAAATCTCTCGAGACTGAATATTTCCGCCAATCTGTTTTTCGGTAGAGGGATTAGCATCTGGCCTAACTAACCTAGAATTTCATTCGCACGAGAAATGTGGGGTAGAAAGCTTACAGGCAGTACAGTATTAGGATTAAGGACACGCTTTGTAGTTCCACAAATATCAAAGCGTATACGACTTTAGCCCAATATGCGGTGTTTCATTTACGCGTTGGATTTCAGTTTTAGACTTTGGGTTAGATCTAGAGCACGGAGTTGGCTTTTTTAACTTTTTTAACTTTTTTTCTCTCACTTATAATTCTCTTTGCATTTAGAGAGCTATTTTCTATAAACCATACGAAGTTGTGGATCGGACTCAGAGATTTTCCCGTTCAATAATGTTCTCAATGGACTGCTTGATGGACTCCTCAAATGGAATAGGGTTGAAGTTCAAAATTCTCCGAGCTTTAGAGCTGTCGGTGATCTTGGAGATAGTTAAAGGTGGACTAACTGCTGTTGGGACTTTCTCAGAGTACTTGGCTGGAAAGTCTCTCTTGAGAATATCAACTATTTCAGACATGAGGTGTTCCTTTTCTTCAACCAAAAGGAATCTTTCATTGAAGGCCTCTTTGTTGTTTGTGGCAGAAACAAATGACTTGGAAAGGTCTCTAACATCGGAGTTGTTTAAATGGTAGTGCAAGATAACATCCAATCCTCCCGTAATGTACAACTTAATAAGGCCCATAACCCCAACGAGTTTCCTATAACCCCATGGAAGAGGACCCGAGATCATATAGGGGGCAATTGAAGTAAAAGACATACCTCGCTTGTTCTCACTGCTTTTGATGAATTTCCACATCATCTTCTCCACCAAGATTTTGGACTTCATATAGCCGTCAAGAATTTTTGCGTCTTCGGGGGTCCACGAATCATCATTAACAATTGTTCCTTCTGGGTATGAGTCCGCAAATCCAATGGCTGCAAAACTGGAACAGAAGATGAATTGCTTGACAGATTCAGTATTGGCAGCCAAGTTCAAAAGGTTCATGGTTCCAGTAATAGCAGCATCATAAATCTGTTCAAGAGGAACATTGTTGATGAACGGATAAGCAACATGGCAAACGTACTCACAGCCATCAATTGCTTCTTTCCAGCCTTCTTCTTTGCCCAAATCCGCTTGGAAATATCTGATATTCTTCATCGCCTCATCGGACAAGTTTCCAGTCTTTTGGATCATTTCCTTAACCTCACTCAACTGGGAGATATCTCTCATAGTGGTGTTAACCTTGTAACCATTCTTGATGTATTCAAGAACTGTGAATACACCTGTATGTCCTGTAGCGCCTGTGACTAAAACCGTAGACATTATTGAGCTAATAATATTAAAACATAGGAATATTGGCAGCTCTTTATACTTTTAACGTCAAACAATTGATTTGTCACCATGTTGCTTACATAACGAATTCCCCCAGATGCGAAAATTTTGGTAACCGATATGTCCGAGCCTAGACAATTCATTATCCAAATGTTGTGCATTAGTACCCTAAGCGGACAAAGGAATCTTTCAGTAGCCATAATATTGTAGGTTTTTGTAATTTTTCCTGGTTGCATAATTGTTAGCGGCTTAGACTGAAATTGAGACGACCGATATATCCTTTTGGTGTTAGAGCTTCTCAAAATCTTTTCTCGACTTATAGAGGAGAGGCCAAATATGGACAAGGCATCAATACTCCTTGATTCAATTTCTCCCTCTCTCCTTGGGCTTTAAATCATAGAGGATCTGCTACATATATATTGTTATTATTTTTGATTTCAGTATGTTCAAACTAGCCATTTCTCCAGCCACGACCCTATTACTTTGACACTAATTCTTCAGGTTAAGTGAAGAGAAATTTATCCAGATATTCAATTAGGAGTTTGCAAGAGATGCTCCTTTCACAATACCCTTGTTGATTTATTTTTGTTGTATTTTTTGTTGTATTTTTTGTTGTGTTTTTTGTTGTGTTGCTTGAATTTCTTTGTTCCGTAATTTCTACAAAGATTTGTCGTTTTTATAAAACATACTCAATTGGAATTAAATTTATAAACAAGAATAGATCCAAAATCTTAGCTTCAAACCAAACAGCTGGTTTGATAATCTACAATCCACAATAGAAGCATTATCTTGTGCACTTGAGCTTCCCAACATCATAGTTTCCTTTACAACTCGTGCCTGTTCACTTGCTTATTCCTACATTGGTCCGAACCTACTTTAACTTGCCTTCTTCACGGTAGACAAAAGCAACATGATCATGATAATAGACCGAAGCATACTGAATTGAGCACTAATCAGCATGAATTCTGCAATTACAGAAATTTGTACAAGCTAAATAATCATTAAAAACTATAAATAGGGTATTTTGTTCAACAAATACGGCTCAGCATTGAATCACAAGCAATATTGGCCAACCTGTCAGCAACCTCATTGCCCAAAAATCCACTGTGTCCTGGAACATATTCAATTGATAAAATCACCGAATCTTTAATGGAATCTATGAGCTTGAGGCAATCTCGAACACATTGTTGATGGATGACCGGACGTCCAGCGGTATTAACCCAGCCGTTACTTTCCCAGTTTTTGTACCAAACGGTTAAGCAATTGATGGAAAACTGAGAATCAGTTAATATTTTAATCAGGGTCTTGCCTTCATATCGTTTACAATGTTCAAGACTTGAAAAAATGATCATAAGTGCATGCCTGATGGCGTAGAGTTCCATAAATTGGTTAGTGGGCTTTAATTTATCGATCAGGATCTGGTCGTAAGCCACAGATATTCCTTTTGGGGAAAGATCCTTGATATAAACGCCATACCCAGCCAAGGCATTGGACTTCCCATTATTTTTGGCAGCACCGTCACAGTATATTTCGATTTTTTGATCAGACAGAATGAGGTGATTTTCCCACTTGATTTCTTGTTCTACAGTCCTCCAGTCTTCAAAATTGTAAGACATGTTGAGACTATTCAACTTCATTTCTACTTGCAATGGAGTACAGGTAGAATTCTTCTTCGTAGTAGAAACTGATGAGCTCACCGTACCACTTTCTACACGACCTAAAGTGCCATATCTTCGTGTCTGAACAACTCGTGAAGACATTGAATTGTTCCTGATAAACTGCTTTGCTGATTCCTCATCATTGAACTTCTTGAAGACTGGTTTGCTGTAGCCATCCACGAGTGGCTTGACTTGGGTCCAATGCCTGAAAACACCTGTTTCAAAGCCACTGGCTACAGCATAATATGGCATTAGGTACCGTGTTATTATGGATGGCAATGTTTTAGATGATTCTAGTGTTAGAAAATGCCGATGTTGGAGCTAGAATAGCGCGAAATTATATTGGCAATATTTGCCTATTGATTACATAATATTTTACCCGATGATCACTAATCACCCATGGGTGATTATTTACTTAATTCGGTTTTCAAAGGGAATGCATCAGCATCTCGTCGTCATGTGCTTGATGATTTCGTAGTTGCACATACATGACCTGTACACTCCTCTATGCTCTATTTTGCAATGTGTGTTCTAGAGATTCAATTGAAGTCTGACTTCTTTGTTAATCAACTATTTCTATCATCTGTAGAGGGACAAACCCATGTCCTACATTGTCACCAAAAGAGCTAGTCGGAGACCATCTTACAACAATTATTCCGTTGGTTCTACCAAGTACTCAAGGGTAAATATTCTGTAATCGCATGTGTCCCTACAATACCCTAGATTTCCTGATCTTGGTTATACTTCAAGAGAATTTGGGTTTAATTAATCAAATTTGCAAAAATTCACATTATTGATTTCATTTTACCCTAAGAATTTGATGTGTAACATCTATTGATACAAAAATTTATACCCATCTTTCAAGACATGCTCCAGATTCATTAATTTTAGGCTTCAAGCGTTCCAAATCGTACAAATTAATACTTCAATCAATTAATGGGATTTTTTGAGAGCTTCTTCGAGAATAGTACTTTCCAGAGGAATGACGGGAAACATTGGCCCTTTAATATCTAAAACTGTGGGTTGTATACACTTACTTCGTTATACTACTATGGATGTTCCTTCCTCTCCCCCAAAGATAGCGATGTTTGGTTGGTGATAAATGTTGTTTACCCCAAGGTGATGAAGGGGATGAATGACTGGATCACACAGCTGACTCAGAATTGTGCGCATGCACACAATACTGGGTGCTGCTTAAATAAATTTTTCCGATTCATCCCGATAAATATTGTGAATGATTTTTAGAAGATGACGGGCTGTCTTCGAAATATTGGCGTAATTTCAATTATTCAAGTCATGTCCCATTTTCAGATGGAATACGCCAACAATTTCGAGCCTTTTTGTTACAATTCTATACGGTTCTTGTTCCTTACGTTTCTACTTCATGGACTATAGAATCTACATTTTCAAACTAGAATTATACATAAAATTATTTATTTGCTCTCACATAGGCATCTGTCTATTTGTTTGAACCAGTCATCAAACGACAAATGCTCTCACATAAGCATCTGTCTATTTGTTTGAACCAGTCATCAAACGACAAATCACTTCTGTGCACCCACTAATGCGCCAATAAATATTGCCGCCAAACTGCACACATATACAGACATAAACCATCTTGTAGCAAATCTACTCATCTGATCCTTTTCTGCTTTAGAGAGCTCAATGTTTTCGGTTCCTCGTTCTTCTAGAGTAAATAGATTTTCCATTTTGTATTGTTTTTCTCTCCAACGGAAATTGTTGAGTTTTTATATTTACCTAAGAGCGGTTTCTCCGTATAGCATTTCCAGCAAGCCCACCTAGAACGCCGGCACAAAATCAAAGAACTATCATTCCAGCAGCAATAGAAATCAACACCTTGTAGAACACCCGCTTTGTCTGGTGGTAAATTGCACTTTGTTGTGTACCGAAGTTGTTATTAGCCATTCAGTGGTTAACGTTAAAGAAAAAGAGGGGGTCAATCTTATAAGACTTAATTGAACGAGCGAGACCTTCATAGACCAAGAAGTATTATTTATGAAATCTGCGGAAATATTTTAAATGTATGTGGGCATGATGCAGTGTCACCTCTATGAATTGCGCGTCAGTCCCACGCAAAAGGAACACCTCTCTTAGATAAATATCGTGATTGATGTCTTCCCTCTTTCTCTTAAACGCCAAATGAAGATTTATCACTGTGAGGTCAAGATTGGTACCGTATTGCTCCCATTTACTTTTCAGTACCCTCGGTGATAATTGCCAAAACAACCTTGAACAAGGTTTTGATTTCAAGATCTACTGTCGCTTTTTAATAGATTTTACTTTGAACTAATTACACAAACGCCCACTCTATCTGAACGACTACTATATTGTTCAAAATATCATAAAAATATTTACACGATCTACATCGTACAGAGAGTGATCCACTTAAATTATCCTGTTTCAACAGATCTAATCTATATTATAAATTGTTTCGTTAACGATATTAACATATCCAAACATTATATAAATAGGACTGAGATCTTCCTTGAGCTACAACCCGCGTGTTCTACATACCTCCATCGTGTATCACTAACTTAGACCAATGGAAATAAATATCTCATAAAGGTGTTTATTATGTGAGCTCTATAATAGAATGCTACTTCAAGCACCAGAAACAGTCACTCAAAGACTCCAAAGAACATTGAGGTGATCAAAAGAACAAGACAATCGTCGACTTGTTGTTCATGAAAGACAAGCTACTTCCTGAAGTAGCTTTTTGCTTCTGGTCAACTGAAAACCGTTCGTTAAACATGAAGGTGATCTCCTTACCATCGCCGAAGTCATAGTTCTGTATGGTCAGGTTGGATAGGGCTGATAGTGAAATTACGGTTCGGCGATAAGAGATTCAAAATTTGCAGAATCGAATTCATCCGCAAACTTTCTAAATAGCACATGATAATCGCTCAATAAAAGATAGTAAATAGCTTGGTGGATGATTACTTTACTTGTATCTTATGTCTGAATTCCCACGATCGGGTCATATACTATATATACTGGTGTATCCTTACCATAAGTTCACCTGGATGTACTTGCACAACCACCGTAGTACCTGGTTTCAATCTTAAGACAAGAACTGAATGTATCGGAACCTGTTATGTAATTAAATTTCAGGGTTCCCTCTTGCCATATAGCAACTAATATCCTTTTCTGTTTGCTTTGCGCAAGGTGCTAGCGGGCTGGCTGGCTAGAACTTTTCGAATGTTTCCTTTTACTTAAGACGAGTACCACATAATATCTAACCTCTAGGCCTCACGCATGACCATCTTCATGAGCTTTGGATTTGACAACACGTATTCAAGCTCTTCTCCAAAGGAGTCTCCGAAGTTTGATAAGATTAACCAATTTCTGACACTTTCGCTAAGGGTTCAATGACGCTAACTAGTAAAAAATAGGGGTAGAGGCGGCGGATCTTCTTATCTCAGCCGTTTTGTCAAAGAAGGCGGACAAGAAGTGGGATAACCATAAAGAGCTTCACATGAATAAGTAATATAGGTATTTGTACAGATACGATAAACGATGTCAATTAAACAACATGGTGATATTATCTCTTTGAGCACATAAAATCAGCTAAGCAGATTTCCAAAGAGGTTAATAGCTGTGTGCATGGCACTCTTTATAGAGTTTGCCTACAGAGGTAGAGAATCATCAAAAATATAGATTTCCCCTTTAAGGATGAAATCTACTGGGCCTTGTACATTTGTGAGATTGTTTTGGCCAACAATATAGGCTGCGAGTCATCTTATTT